GAGCAAGAGGGGGAGGCGGGAGGGCCGACAAGGACCACGGTGGTGGTGGCAGTGGCAGTGGCAGTGGCAGTGGCGTGCTGGGCGGGTGAGCGTCTCGTCATGTGCTTCAAGCGCGCTGCACGCCCGGACAATGCGCGGCACAGAAACTCTCGAGCGGCGTCTGTCTCTGGGGTACCTGGCCGGCCGCTAGCACATGCTGGCGCAGGGAACAGCGCTTGGGCCCGCCATTGTTGCCAGCAACCAGCGCCAAAACAATCAACTGTTTTTTTCTCTTTGCTGCAGCTGCTCCCCAACCAGGCCTGCTCACCTTGTCTTCTGGCGCAGCACCGACACCATGGCCACCGACATCGCGACGCTCTCGCAGCTGCTCCAGGCCAGCTTGGACCCCCGCCAGAACAAGCAGGGTAAGTTTCGCCATGCCATCAGCTGCCCCTCGACCATTACATGCATCGCGACTGACTTGCCCCAGCCGAGGCCGCCATCACCCAGGAACAGGCCAAGCCAGGCTTCTCCCTCGCCCTCCTGCAAATCATCGCCGCCGACTCCAGTCCGCCCAATACCCGCCTGTCCGCCGCCCTCTACTTCAAAAACTTTGTAAAGCGCAACTGGGTCGACGAGGATGGCAACTACAAGCTGCCCCAGGACGAGGTCGTGGCCATCAAGCGGGAACTCATCGGCCTCATGGTCTCGGTGCCAGCCAACATCCAGGCGCAACTGGGCGAAGCAATCAGCGCCATTGCCGACAGCGACTTCTGGGCAAACTGGGACACGCTCGTCGACGACCTCATCTCGCGCCTCACGCCCGACAACACCACCGTCAACAACGGCGTACTGCAAGTAGCACACTCCATCTTCAAGCGCTGGCGGCCTCTCTTCCGCTCCGACGACCTCTTCACCGAGATCAACCATGTCTTGACCAGATTCGGCACGCCCTTCCTCCAGCTGCTCGAAAACACCGACAACCTCATCACCCACTCACAAGGCAATCCAGAGACCCTCAGGGCTGCCTTCACCACGCTCCAGCTGCTCATCAAGCTGTTCTACGACCTTTCCTGCCAGGATCTCCCACCTGTTTTCGAGGACCACCTGGGCGTCATATGCGGCCTCCTCCACAAGTACCTCACCTACGACAATCCCACCCTACACACAGATGACGAAGCCGAGGCGGGACCGCAGGAGTACGTTCGCGCCGGCATTTTCGAAGCCCTCATGTTGTACATCCAAAAGTACGAAGACGTGTTTGGACCTCACCTCGGTCAATTCATCGAGACCAGCTGGAGTTTCCTCATGACCGCAGGACTGGAGAACAAATACGACATCGTAGTCAGCAAAGCGCTGCAGTTCCTCTCTGCCGTCGCCTCGACACAGCATGCCGAAGCATTCAACAACCAACCCGTGTTAGTCCAGGTAATCGAGAAGGTCATCCTACCAAACTTGACTCTGCGTGAGTCTGATGTCGAAATGTTCGAGGACGAGCCCATCGAATTCATTCGCAGAGATCTTGAAGGAGCTGACAACGACACCCGTCGACGTGCCGCGACCGAATTTCTTCGCAAGCTCATGAGTCGATTCGAGGGACTAGTCACCACTACCTCGCAAAGTTACATCGACATATACCTACAAAACTACGCCTCAGATCCCGAGAACAACTGGAAGTCGAAAGACACTGCGGTCTATCTCTTCACTGCTATTGCGTCCAAGGGTGCTACAACTGCGGCACAAGGTATTCTCACTGTCAACGAGAGTGTGAACATCTTGGAGTTCTTCCAAACACACATTGCGGGCGACCTGCAGTCACAAAACGCCTCCCCAATCTTGAAAGTCGATGCAATCAAGTTCCTCTACGTTTTCCGGAGCCAGCTCTCACCTGAGCTTTGGCGTGCGGCATTCCCCTTACTGGTCAACCAATTGGGCAGCGAAAACTACGTCATTCACACATATGCTGCAATCGCAGTCGAGCGGGCTCTGTTTATGACAGACAGCGAACGCCAGCCAATTATTCCAAGATCAGACGTCGTCGATTCGTCTAATCAACTACTCACGCATCTGTTCAAGCTGATCATGAAGAACTCGGCTCCAGAGAAGATTCAAGAGAATGAGTTCCTTATGAAGTGCGTTATGCGCGTCTTGATCTTCATTCGCGACGGTGTGCTACCCCATTGCCAGAGCATACTACAGAGCTTCATCAACATTGTCAAGGTGATCCGACATAACCCAAGCAATCCACGTTTCCAGTATTATCTCTTTGAGGGCATAGGGGCTCTTGTTCGATTCGCTGCACCAAAAGAACCACAGTTTTTCGAAGAGAAACTTTACGAGCCCTTCGCTGCGTGTCTATCAGCAGACGTCCAGGAGTTCTCCCCTTACATCTTCCAGATTTTCTCGGCACTGCTAGAAGCCAATCCTTCAGGGGAGCTTAGTTCGTACTACAGGAGCCTCTTTCAGATTGTTATCCAGGGCGCTGTATGGGAGCAGCGCGGTAACGTACCCGCATTGGCTCGCCTGTTGAGCGCCATGATCGCTCGCGATGCTCAACATATTGTGGCCAACAAGCAGCTCGAGCCCATTTTGGGTGTATGGCAGAAACTGGTTGTAACCAAGGCTCATGAGACCCACTCTTTCGAGCTGATCGAAGCTATCATAACATATATCCCAGCGGAAGCTCTGCAGCAATACTTCACCACAATCTTGCAACTCATGATGCAACGATTGTCTAATAACAAGACCGAAAACTTCCAGCAGCGTTTCATCGCTTTCTACCATTTCGTATCGGCGCGATTGGAACAAGGTCTCGGTACGGACTACTTCCTACAGGTCACCGACCAGATCCAGCACGAGTAAGTTGTTCCAGAATTCCAGTAAGACAACAGCTAATCGATCAATAGCATCTTCAAGGCACTCTACTTGCAGGTCATCCTACCAGAGACTCAGAAGCTTGCACGCCCAACCGATCGCAAGACCGCTGTAGTGTCCTTTACCAAGACCTTGGGTGACTCGCAGGCTTTCGTTGACCGCTATCCCAAGGGATGGCAACTCACAACCCAGCGTCTGATTGAGCTTCTGGTCAATCCCCCGGTCCCCACGGCTGCTGACGACATCATTCCAGATGCGGACGTGGACGAGTTGGGCTTTGGCGTTGGCTTCACACAGCTCAACACCTGCAAAAAGGCACCTCGCGACCCCTTCCCAGAGATTACCGATATCAAGAGCTGGGTCAGTCAGTATCTGAAGGGGGCAGATCAGCGACACCAGGGTCGGATCAGCAAGATTATTCAGGAGAGGCTTGATAATGCGTCAAGGCAAGCTCTTGTTCAGTATCTCAATTAGAGGTGCTTTGAACAAGAGGATGCGAAGGGGATGGAATTATGGATTGGGACGGATATGATACCAGGAAAAACTGTGGCGGAGTTTGAAAGATTGAAAGGGTCTTGATACCCAAAAGCATAGCATCAAGCGTATTTGAGCATACTATTGATCGTGACTCATCGATCTCTTCTCATCGGAGATTATGTCAAGATGCCGACTATTAATTTCTGCCTATAGCTATCGTGAGTCCGCTGCAAACCAAGAAGGGCGAGCCCGTGTACGTACGTACCTTCCAGTTGAAGACTAGCGTGCACATCTAGGGCGCGATCTCGCATTGCGTCTTTCAACCATCTTGATGTTTTGTATCTTCATTCTAGACGAAATTCCAGTAACTAGGTTACTCTTGACAGGCTACAAAGCTGAACTTGGACCATCGCATGTGCCATCTCCCTACCCTGTTGTCCCAATCACGATACCAATTCTGCGGCACACCACAAATCCATATCCGCATCAAAAAGCTACAGTCAACATCAACTGGAACATCTCATTCTCTGAGCGTATCAACAACCATGGCAGACCCCCTCACCCAACGAACAGACCCCCTCTTCCAAAAAGACGGCACCCTACACACCCACACCAGCACCATCACCTCCATCCAACCCCTCTCCTCTCTCACCCCAGAAACCCAACTCCTCTTCAAATCACCCCCAGATACCATCCCCTTCATCCTAACCACCCCCTCCACAATCTTCCACGCCCAAGGCGGCGGCCAACCCTCCGACACCGGAATCATAACCCCAATTTCCAGCGCCACCCCAACCTTCACCGTCCACCAAGTGCGAAAACTCGACCCTGCAATCCTCCACATGGGCGTTTTCTCCCCGGCCTCTCAGCCCTTCACAGCCGGCGAGCAGGTCCAACAAACCATCGACACCGCCAAGCGGATCCTCCACTCCCGCATCCACACCGCAGGCCACATTCTCGGTCTGGCAATTAACCTGCTCACTGCCTCTGGCACACTTCCCGCCGACCTAATCGACGGCAAAGCCTCGCACTACCCTTCCGCCGCATTCGTCGAATTCACCGGTTTGATCCCTGGAACCGCTAAACAAGCCATTCAGGAGAAAGTCGATGAGTTGGTGAAGCAGGATTTGCAGGTTAGCATTCATTATTGGACGGAGGAGGAGGCGCGGAGCAGGTGCTCGGGTGTGCTGGGGGATGTGAAAGGGGATGAGGATGGAGTGAGGGTGGTGCAGATTGGAGAGGTGGGGAGTTATCCTTGTGGGGGGACGCATGTTGTGAGGACGGGGGAGTGTGGGAAGGTTGTTGTTAGGGGGATTAAGAGGCAAAAGGGAGTTAGTAAGGTTAGTTATGAGGTACAGGATTTGTAGATATTTGAAGGGGTTCTAGATTCCCGCTGTTTGAAATATGTCTCAATAGCAATGGTAGTACTAGGTACACCGCAAGAAAAAAGAACAAATAACAAAAAAGCAACGACATTCACCGAGTCCTTACAATCCCGTTCTCACCTTTTCCCAGGTATATTTTCACCTTGTCATACTAACCCTCCCCTCTTCTCCCCTCCTCTCCCCTCCTCTCCCCTCCTGTCCCAACTTCCCATCCTCCTACCACCAACCACACAGCCGTCATCCCCCCTCTCTCTTAAGAAAAAAATAGCAAAAAAAAGATGATGTTGAAGACGGTGGGTTTCGAACCCACGCACATTTCTGTACCAGGGAGCAAAGATATAAAACCTTGCAGAAAATTCAAAGCTTTAGACTTAAATCTGGCGCCTTAGACCACTCGGCCACGTCTTCGGGGTGAACAATATGATATTCTTTTCTGCTTATGTGGTTTATATACCTTGGCTGAAAATTAAGTAGCGGCGGTGTGAGCCGCGTCAGTTGGATAGTGTTGGGGATGTATGTGAGGGCGGTGGGGATGTATGTGAGGGGTAGGAAAAGGTGGAGCGGGGTAAGTTGGGTGTGGGATGTGGGTCGGCGTGGCAAGTGCGGGTGCGATTGAGAAGCGAGGGTAGAGGACGGTGTGGTGGGGTTTAGATAAAATCCGTTTACTAGTTAGAGTCTAACAAAGGGGGGGTTAAGAAAACTATCAGGGGTACAGAGTACAGTCTAAAGCGATTTTGGGGGGCAAACACTTTTGTGAATTGGTTGCGCGTGCGCTCTGTTTTTTCCCGGCGCGTCCCAATTGCGCTAGCGAAACTGTGGCTGTAGGGAAAAAAGTTCCTCGCCATCTTCTTTCTCGCCTCTAGATACTGATTCACAACACTGCGTACAAGGGCATGCGGAAATCTACGTCGTATGACGTGTATTTTAGCGATTCTTCAGCCCGCCTCATGGCTGGTTAGACGCGCTAACGGTAACACCATTCGACAGCTTCAGACCCAGCGGTAAACCCCTGCTCCAGCTGTCCCGGTATAGTATGCGCCTTCTCTCCGCCCAAGCTTGGTCAATGTCTTTGTACATGTAATATGCGTTTATCTCTTCTATTGTCAATTTTTTCGATTCATCTTCGACTTTGCATGTCGATGTCGATGTGTTACTCGAGAAGCCTGTGTACTTGTCAGCAACGCGGTGTGCAAAGAAGAATATGGTATGGAATGGAAGTGGGAGATACGCACCAATACGCTCGTTGATGTTGTATGCTGCTTTTGCAGCGGAGGCCTGGACTCTGGTCGCACGCGGTAGACGCACTGTTTCGTAAATCGCAACTGACTCTTTTACATCGCCTTTGAAGTATTTTTTGTTGAAGAGAATGCCCAGTGCGGCGGCGTCAATCGCCATACAAGCTCCCTGGCTTTGATGCGGCATCATCTATCGCCAAAGTCAGCTTGACCTACCATCATTCACAATTGCATGTCAACCAAAAAAGTCTCACCGGATGTCCAGCATCCCCAATTAACGCAACACTCTCCTTGACAATATAAGGATACGGCTCATGCACCCACAGCCTCCACGACTGAATCTCAATCCCAATCGCAAGATGCGCCTTGACCTGCCTGTCCGACTCCGGAAACGGCGCCAACAGCTCCTCCACCGAGAGATCCGCGCCTCCCCACGTATGATTCGCATAGTCGCCCACTGATCTCGGGAAAAACAGTAGTAGGAAAGTAATTTTCCGCCGTTACACGGCGAGAGCACAATCTCGTCCCATTTACCTTGCTGGCCGCCCCAGTACTCTAGCGCGCTGCTGAGCGAGTAGTCTACTAGTCCTAGTTTTCGTGTGTCTTTGGTGAGGACGTTAGCTTGGAGGCAGGAGGATCTGCGGGTCGCTTTTCAGGGTTTAGGCCGATTAGTTTGCGGGTTTTAGAGCCGATGAGGAGGTCGTGCTGGGCTATTGTGTGGTTGGTGAAGGTAATTGTGCTGGTTTCGAGATTTATATTGTCGCACTAGATGTTGTTGTCAGTTCGAACTTGTGGACTGAGGAATGAGTTTTTCTTACCGAGTGATTGACCTTCAGCACGACAGGTATCCCATCACCTTCTTCTTGTAACGTACATTCCATCAACATCTTATGCATGTACTATCAATGAAACATGTTATACGCGTGTCCCCACCGCTCCTCATAGTCATCAAGGTCGTATACGCTGACAGGCTCCCCAGTCTTCCAGTCGCGATTGATGAGCTTCTTCAGGACTACTGGATCGCCCTTTTCTACGTCGACGCCCCATTCGTGTAGCCAGCGTGTACCGTTTTCTGTGCATGAAACTGATGCTCCTGTTTCGCTGGTAAAGTCAAAACGCTCGTAAATGGGTACCTTGTGGCCGGCTCGTCGGAGTGCAATGGCGCTGGACATTCCTTCTATCACGCCGCCGATGATGCCTACGCTTAGCTGTCTCCAGCCATCATCTTGCTGTGAATCCATCTCGCCGTGATAGTCGTACTCTGATACGGTGAGGGCTCAGAGTTCCCAGTTTCTACTTGACGTGTAACTTGCTGAGATATGCCAGGAGATTAGGCGCCGTGAATTTAATAAGCGGTAAGGTCGGCAATGGTAACCTTGGATTCTCAGGATGAACAGCTGTGTAAGAATCGATTTTTTTTTTGGTGATGCTCATCTTGCTGTCGCAAATCCATTCCATCCTGTTTACTACAGCTCCCGCGACTCAAGCCAATCATGTTCAAGTCCGCACCGATCAAATGGTCGATGTCTCTGAACGCAGCCGGTGCAGCGTTAGGCGAACGATTGCCGCAGCAGAAGTCCGTACTTTGCGAGTCGCGATCCGCATAGTTCGATGCTCATGATTGGTGGTGTAGTTCGGTTGCGGAAGCAGCACTTGTACGACAGCCGCAACACCACCAACTTAGTCGGATATCTCCCCTTTCCGATAGGCGCATTTATGCAACACCTCAGATTAAACTGGGCTCTTTCGTTGTAACTTCCCCGCAATTGAACACTGATCGGTCCTGTGGGGTTCGCTTGGTTCGTTGACAGCGTCTGCGGCAAATGTCCCTGTAGGGTGATGCATGAACCGGATGCTCACTGTGCCGCCTCGGCTGTAGTATGTTCAGATGTTTTTCCCATGAGGATGCGCTTGTTGCGCCTTTACATATGAGTACACCCCAGAATCCCTCTCATATTTTAGTACTGAGTTTCTGTTCTACATCATCACCAACATTCCCAACGCAGAATACCAGGCCGACCAAACACAATGCTCGGGAAGATCATCTTGGAAGAGGCCTTTGCCTTGCCCCGCTTAGAAGAGAAGACCAAATGGTGGGCTGGCATGTTCAGCACCGATGCAGAAAGGCACACCAAAGAAATTCAAGATTTGACCGACATACGACTCAAGTTTGCAGATCAGTATGGTGTGGGCTACACGATCCTCTCATATACCGCGCCAGGAGTTCAAGACATTTTCGACCCCAAAGAAGCCCAGGCGCTGGCCGTAGAGATCAACGACTACGTTGCTGAACAAATCAAGCCGTTCCCAGACCGCTTAGGAGCGTTCGCGTGAGTCGTTCTTTTCCTGCACCATGTTTTCTCCACCATCGGATCGCTGATGATGAGTTTTGATAGTACACTCTCCATGCACAATCCAAAAGAAGCAGCCGAAGAATTACGAAGAACAGTAACGACATATGGTTTCAAGGGCGCCTTAGTCAACGACACCCAGAGAGCTGGCGCCGACGGTGAAGACTACGTCTTCTACGACCAACCAGAGTGGGATGTTTTCTGGGAGACACTCACAGAACTCGACGTACCATTGTATCTGCATCCACGAAACCCCACCGGCATTGTGTTCGAGAAACTTTGGAAAGACCGCCAATGGCTTATTGGCCCTCCATTATCATTCGCCGTCGGCGTCAGTCTCCACGCGCTCGGCATGGTAACGAACGGTGTTTTTGACCGCCACCCAAAGGCGCAAGTCATCCTGGGTCATCTGGGCGAACACATCCCATTTGACATGTGGCGCATCAACCACTGGTTCGAGGACCGCAAGAAGCTGCTCAAGCCTGGTCTGGACTGCAAGAAGACGATTCGGGAGTACTTCAATGAGAACTTCTGGATCACAACGTCGGGCCACTTTTCCACCACCACGCTGAACTTTGTCAAGGACGAGGTCAGCGCGGATCGCATTTTGTTCTCGGTGGACTATCCGTTTGAGACGTTCGAGGATGGGTGTGTGTGGTTTGATAATGCGGAGATGAATACTGGGGATCGACTGAAGATTGGGAGGGAGAATGCGAAGGGTTTGTTCAAGCTTGGGGAATACAAAGATTCGAGCGCGAAGGTGATATAGATCAATAGACGCAGTCGTCAAGTATATCTATGTCGTACGGCGAGACTGTAATATGTAGGATAAAAGCCACATTTGAGCCTTCATTCGTTACGATGCATAAGCTAATCTGCGAAGCTGTCTTGATCCTGACTCGGAGGTATCAGACCCATCTCGTCGTCAGGTAGCATGCCGACCGGATAGTCCATCATATATTGATTCGAATCCCAGAGCATTCGCATGATAACATCATTCTCTCCGATCAGTGCTTGATCAACAGGCGAAACGTTATGAATAGCATCGAGCGACATTCCATTGAGCCAGTCTGAAGAAAGACTATCGTGTGTAGACATTTCCGGACTTGGAAGTTGTGTCATAAGGACCTCCGGTACTTCGAGATCTGCTGTGTTGTCTGGTAGGAAGATTTGGTCCACCAGGGTTGCACGCGGCGCGTTTCTGTTGCGATACTGCTGTTCTTTGTAGGCCTTGATCGCCTGGTGGAAACTCGATAGGATGGTGTAGTACTGCTCGGCTTGCGGACTTAGGCGCTTGAGCTCACCCAACACATGGAGTGATTTGAGGAACGATGTACGTCTTTCAGACATGTTCCCAACGTCTTCTGCAAGCAGTGAGAAGCCCAAGACAAGACCAGTAGCGAATATCCAAGCTCTAACAAAGTAAGTCGACTGCATTTCCTGTTGTTGCAGTTCTCCACTTACTTCAGTATGCACATGTTCCCTAACAATTTTCCAGACCTCATGACCTGATAACACATTTGCGCCATGAAAGCAGCTGCTTCAATACACGCGTCGGCCAACTGAGCGATCCTAGCCTCCTCGCCCGAACCGTGTCTCGAGCCACCACGATCACCCATCAATGGCATAGCACGTTCGGATAGCTGTGGCACAATGTGCTGTATCAAGAAGTGGCGTGTAACCAGTATGACACTGAAGTAATATGCACCGGAGACATGCACATTCCCAATCGTCACACGTCTGCTGTCAGTGGTCTCTCCTCCACTTGTAGTCCGTAATGTTGAGGGGAAATTGCGGCTGCGTTGTTGCAACGCTAGTACAA